ATCTCCCATCTGTGGATTGCTTCTTTCCAGCCCTCTGCTGTTTCTCTCTCAGCCTCTTTTCAGTCTCTCCCAGTGGCTTCCATTCCTGCACATATGTGTTTGTGTGTGTGTGTGTGTTATTTATTTTTATTTATGTATTTATTTATTTATATTACATTTCTCCCCCACCCATCTCCTCCCAATGGGGGACTCTGTTATGCTGCATGGGGAGTAATAAAGTAATGCAAGATGAGCCCATTATTTCTGCTCTCTATATGGCTTTCCTCTTACCCCTAGAGCTGCGGGATTTCTCTTTTAATGGCTTTTCTAGTCTCGGATATAAGTAGCTGAAATCAAGAGTTGTGCCCTTGAATCCTGAAAATCCTGAAAATGGAAGTGGTTGACTCGATCCTTCTTCCAGGAAGGTTTTTCAACTTCCCAGGCCAGCCTAGAGCCTTGGCATGCCCTGGCAGCCTCCAGGACTAGGGGCCAGGACTGCGCCCAGTTCAGAACTGATTCGGAAGCAGTGATTCAGACTCGGCAGGATCAAGAGCACCACTCCTCTATGCGGTTCATTCAAGGAGCGGGACTTTTTACAAGCTTCCCTGCAAACCTGAAGAAAAGCTGCAGCACCTTAAGGAACTCCATTGGCCTCCTGGATTTTTCCCCTTCCTTTTATTCTGTGTAAATGTGTTTTCTTATCAATTTTAACTGTATATTTATTTGTTTTAATATGTTGTAAGCCGCCCAGAGTCCCCTATTGGGGGGAAATGGGTGGGAAAAAGTTTGATCAATCAATCAATCAATCCATTCCTGGAAGCAAATGGGATTCTTAAGTGCTCAACCTGCTTAGCTTCTGAACCTGGGCAAAGTTGGCCTGGTGTGGCCCATGTAACTTGAGAGGGACACCTTCTGGTCAAACAATGGGATACAATATGTGGAGAGATGCAAGGTTTGGGGGGATGCTGGGAGAAGGCAGGTGCATATATTGGTCAATTCCTTTTCGGGGTGCTCAGTTCACCTCCATTTTAAGGATGTTGCTAAACCTTAGTTAAGGCCTTCATGTCTGAGAAGCCATTTATGTTCATGCATGGACTTTGAACCAACTCTCCAGGTTTCATCCCACATATAATAAAATGAAATAAAAATTATTTCCTGCAGGTTTTAATGCTGATGTTTACAATACAGGTCTCAATGACTCTTTTTCTAGATGATCATCTGCTTGAACTTTGAACCTGAAAAGAAGACAAATGAATCACTATCATTCTGCTAATTATAAGGAGAAGAGGCATCACGTCTGCAACATCCAGAACTCTGCACAGCTCCAAGCGCAGGCGCATAACTGGAGAAAAACATGTTTGTGCCAATTCCCTGAAGGTTGACTAACCTGGCAAAAAAACAACAGCAGTTGAGTTTGGCCAGGTTTTTTTTTTTTTTTTAGAGAAGCAGCATCTCAGTAACAGTTTAGAGTTTTGCATCATTTCAATACTCAAAATGTACTGTTTTAAGTGATTCAAGACACCTTCTTGATTGTGTTGAAATAGACTATCCTAGCTAACCTTTTGCTAGTTTCAACAGCAATTGCATGCCGGTTCCCTTTTTTCTCAGCATCCTCAAAGGCTTCCACATTCTAGTCTACTATCTTGGCTGGGCCTATGAAAATGTTACATTCTCATTGTATGCACAGAACACCCAGATTTGTGATTTATGGAATTAGTCAAAATATCTTCAGTGACACCACACACTTGAACGCTCCTGGATAATCACAGCACACCAACTTGTCTTGGGGCTGCTGGGCGCACATTCAGTATGGCCTCATCCTATTGTGATGCACGTTCTAGCTCTGAGCATCTAGTCCCATTTCATACAGCACAATGGGCACAGATTTGGGAACTTAGTAGGTCCAGGCCCTGGCTGTGACCGCTTGAACTTTTGACATTGTTCCTCTGCTGAGAGGCGGCCTTGGCTCAAATTAATTCTCCAGCCTTGGAGGGTGGGCAATTATGCCATTTCTATTCTGGAAATTCCTCTTGGTGATTGAGAAGGTTGAGGGGATTTCTACTGAAGCTTCCAGCTTTTTCCCAGCCAACCTTGGGGGATTATACTAGGAATTAAATGAGATGTGATGTAATTGAAAATTTAAAAAGGGAACTAAGTTAGAATGATTGCTGTCTCAGAATTGAGTAATTCCCACTTTCTGTTGCATGAAAGCTTACAATTCAGGGCAATCATTGGAGAGATCTTGAAGGCCACCCTAAAGATCTCAGAGGCCCCCAGATTGAGTACCTCTGTTTGAATAGGGGGTGGCACTTGAGTTCATGCAGTGCTTGCCTTACTTTTGTGACTTCCTCCAGTTGGAGTTGCTGCTAAACCAGTTGGATTTCCTTCCAGGGCTGAGCCATTCTCCCTTCTGCTGCTGCTGCAGTGGCATTTTCTGGAAATATTTTAATTCTGGGTGAAGTTTAGCCTTCCACAGTAAGTTAAAAAAAAAAAGAGCTTGCTGGATGCCCAACCGATCAGTTTATTTCCACTAAGGTCAATGCAATCCCTTTGGAAGCTCAAAGGTAGATTGAATGGGGATCCAAATGCATGAATTACATGAAATGAAGGAGTTCCAAAGCAAGAGATGAGATGAAAATAAAGCTTGAAATTCAAGGAAATTCATCACAGCGGTTCTCCCGTTCTCCACTTTTCTCAGACAGAAAAGGTGGTTTCTATCCCTGACCTGGTAATTTTGAGGGCCAGTACTGCATTTTAACACAAATATATCTGAATTTAATTTCTCGATTTCTATACATGCCCACTCTGACCCAGCATAAAGACTATGAAAATCCCACTTTAATGATTTGGATTTGGGAGGACAGGAGAGATCATTATTACCGATTCAACCACTACCTGCATCTGTAAAAGGAAAATAAAATTGGTAGTGAATCTCTTCATGACTGATTTCTTGGTGTTTTTTCTGGTATTGGTAAAACACTGTGCAGCTCGACAGCTCCATTATTATATTACAGCAGTTCTACACTATTTTCATTGACAATTCATTTCCAGTCCAAATTCATTGTGCTAATCCAATCCTACATACCGTATTTTTCCGACAATAAGACGCCCCCATGTACAAGACGACCCCCACTTTTCCAGCCCAAAATTAAA